CCCTGGTTCCTCCGCCGTCCCACGCGCGCGTATCCGTTCATATTCTCAAACCCACGGATGACCCACACAAACTAACATGAGGGCGAACAGCAGCTTGCCAGAGCAGCCCAAGCCAAGCATGAAAACATGCGGAACTTTCTCTGTCCTCCGGCCGCTTGCTAAATTTAGACCTCTCATCCATGCTGAGTGTTTGATTTTTTTTTTTTTGTCTTGCAGTGTTTCTCGTGCCGCACTGACTCGCCTTCTTTTTTTTTTTTTTTTACTCCGTTCTCTTGGTGACTGAGCCTTTGTTACCTAGAACAAAGGCTCAGTCAGAATCAGAAATTTTATTGGTTTATAAAGACTTATAAACCGTCTTTATTTGATTTTATTTTTATTTTGTTCAAATTGCAACGGAAAGACGAGCCCTTGTTTTTTTTTCTTCTTGGCTCCCTGCCACAGTCGGGCACATTTCTGCAAGCCGACTGCAAAGACCGGATGACAGTTTTTGCTCAGCCCTGTCACAGCAGATTAGGGAGGCAAAGACGAGGTGCTTCCTATTTGCAGGGATTAGAGCTGAGGTGGAGGAGAAACCTCGTAACTCCTCTCTGACTTGTTTTCTGTGTGCACATTCGGAAAATATAGCCTACAAAACAAAACAAAACAACAACAAAAACAAAACTACACAAATTACAGGAATGCTTAATGAATTAGCGGTTTAAGGGCGCTAAAAGACAGACGAGTCGGATGTCAGAGTGGAGCTGTCCGCGGTGCTGCCGGAGCTCCGCATCTGGCCAGCTGCAGGAGGCTCATCATGTCAGCAACGAGTTGCATCCCTTTACAGCCTGAGGAGAGAGCTCATCTGGACTGATGAGGAGCAGGAAAGTCATAAGGCAGAAAAAATACAAAAATAAAAAGATAAAACAAAAATTCTCGAAGCTCTTTAAAAGGGCAAATGGATCTAAATTTTATATTAAACCCCCCCCCCCCCCTAAATACATAAAATAAGATACATCCAATTCAAATGACTCCTATTTGAATCCTGCCAAAATCGCAGAGCCTTTTGTTTTTCTGCACAAAAATGTGGCCCGCTGCACGCGAATCTGCATGATAATATCGAGGCCCGCGTGTGTCGGCTGTCGGGTGGTGCGCGCTTCGTTTCACAAATTTCAGATTGGTTTCACATGTTAGACTGCAGCTCCGCGGGCCATGGGGGGAGGAAGAGAGAGAGAATGTTGTTTTTACCAGTAAAAGATAAAAAATAAATAAATGGATACGTTGAGGTTTTCCCTTTTTTTTTCTTACAGGCTCTCGTCTCAAATAATTTTTTGGACATTTGTAAGGTTCTTTTTTTTTTTTTTTTTTTT